CTGGATATTCTTTCTCTTCAAAAGAATCATAGATCAGCAGCAGCTCTCTCTTAGAAAGGTCTGCTGTTAGTTTAAAGTACGTTTCCGCCATTATTTAAAAGTGAGTTCCTAAGGTCCCTCTTCACAGCTTATCAATTCCTTAAGGGAAAAGGCTGGAGCCTAGAGTCGCCTGTAATTTCACTTGTATTAAAATAAACCCGTATAAAATATCTCTGTATCTCTGGGAATCGTAGGTTTGTTTCTTCTCTTTGTCACCAATTTGTAGGGGTTTTGCTGCGTAAAAACTACAATAAGTTTTGGATGAGCATGGTTTATTGAAAAATCAAAGTTGTGTCGAGTGGAAGTAGAGTTGAGTGTATGAGTGTCTGAGTGGAGAAGCAGAGTTCTTTATATAGTATTTTGGTTCGCGTGAATGGAACTTTATTCACGCGAATAGAACACAGTTTCATTTGGGTAGAATGTTTGTTCACAGAAATGAAAGTTAATTCACAGGAATGAAAGTTGGTTCACAGGAATGAAAGTTATTTCGCGTCGATGAGATGATAAATCGTTTGGAATAAGTTTTGTGTGCTGGCGCGGCTCGAGTTCTGTTTGAACGGATGAAATTTCGTTCGCGCGGCTGAAGCGCCGCGCGCGCGGGTGGATTTTCACGCGGATGAAATTAGTTTAAGCTCAGCACTTTAAATCACGTGAATCAAGACTGATAGTAAATAATTTGGATGTTGCGCAAGCAAATCCCGTACAAGCTATCCAAAAAGCGGTGGCAAGAGCGATGGTAATCTTCAGTTCTTCCTCGCTGATGACTGGTACAACACCGCAACTAATTCGCCAGTGAAGAACTTCATCTACCAGACACTTCCCGAGATCGACTGCGGCGACCCGTGTGCCGAACTCGACGACTGCAACGTCATTGTTGATGGTTGCGAAGTCGCTCCAGTGAAAAACAATCAAGTCGCGACTGTACCTGCTTCTTTGAACTACAAAGTCTCGGCCGATATCTTCTGCGCTCCGGTGACACCCTGGGCCGAGTGGAGAAACGTACTTCACGTGACTGACGGAAACGATCATTACACTCCCGGCTGTCGAACATTTGCCATTTGGAGGAATCCAACTACAAGACAGTTAAATATTCATACCAACAATCCAAACGGCAATCACGGGGATCATTCCGACAGGACGCCTTTCTACTGCACCGAAGGCCAGTGGCACTCATTCTCCGTTGAAGTTCGCCAGGATACCGGCGTGACATCAACGCTCAATTACGATATCCAAGTCGACGGAAATTCAATCAGAACAGGAAGCTATCCGGCTAGCGGAGGCAAGAGCACTGGCGATCTTCAATTCTTCGTTTCTGATGACTGGTGGCTCGCCGCAACTGGCTACAATGTCAAGAATTTTGTCTACCAGACTTTCGCCGAGATCTAAACATTCTTGTCGAAAAGTTGAAATCATGTCAAGTTGCAAACTAAAATTAACATGTCTTTCATCTTATTCTTCCCTTTCATATTAGTATCATCTGTCACGAATTTATATCTCTTTCCTTCATTATTAAAAGATTGTTATTTTTTGATTAGATTCGTCCTTAAAATAAAGACATCATCAATCATAATTATTTCATCTTGTTGTAATTCTTGAAGGCGCAAAAATTTTAGGGCAAAATTTTGACCAAAAACGGACCAAACTGACCAAAATCATACATCAAATGAGCAGAATATCAAGTTGAAAGGTAAGACTTGTAACCGCATTCCCAGGAAGATCATCCGATTTCCACATTTTTCCTCATTTTGACCGCTAAATGCGCAAAATTATACCAATAAGAAAATGAAAATTACGAATCTCATTCGTATATAAATACGAGTTCTGGAGTCTTTTACTCAGAGGTCGATAAGGTCTCCGCAGTTTTTCAGAAAAAAATATGAAAATTCTTTTTCCGCTTTTTACCCTCGGATCGTCCGTTTTTCCTGAAATCAACGAGAGAAGCAACGTTGACAACACCGACTTTCTTCTATCGGAAGGATCGAGCAATTGGAATGACGACTTTGCCGCTGCTCTCAGCGAAGACATTTCAACTGGGACGGATCTTTTCTTCGCGACGTTTTTCACGGACGATTTTTCAAGAAAATATCTCAAATTCGGCGAACGAGCAAAAGCGGCGCTAAATCGAACGATGGAAAATCTCCACCAAAGGGATCAATCCTGCATGAGAGCGCCAGAAATTGAAGGAATCAAAGAAACCGGAGTGGAAATCAAGCGCTGGAATCTCCCAACAACAAATTTTATCACGAGCTGGAAGTCGCTCTACTACCAATACGGGCGCTGGATAAAAGAGCAGATCTACCCAAGTTGTCCTCGAAGAGCGATGGTTTTGCTAAAAAGAATCGACCGCTTCAAACTGATCATGATTTACAAGTACTGCCAGGAAACCGACGATTCTTCCGTTCAATGCACCAACAAGTATCCTCTTTCTCCCGACTCTTCCGAAGTTGCTCCGTTGAAAGAAATGCCGCATCCGAGAACCTGGGTGAGCAACATCTACGGGCGACACAAAGACCTGGAGTTTTCCGAAGACATCTGCTCCGACTACGTTCAAGAAATAAGCTGCCCTCTCCAGCATCGAATTTCAATCAGATCTGCGAGTTTCGGCCGCGCGCTTGGAAGACCGTGCGGCGGTGGAAGATTCTGCAATTCGAGCTTTGATTTGACAGACAAGTTTGAATCATGCGAGGGCGAAGAAAACTGCTCATTCGATATTGACTCTCATATCGGGAATTTCACGGACTGCGAGGGTAAAAAGCCGTATTTGACTGTCAAATTTAAATGTCTTTGACCATCTTTCTCTCAAGAAAAACTGACTGCTATTAATCTCTTATACAGTATAAGAGTATAACAGTATACAGTATAAGTTATACTATCAATTATAATCTCTACTAACAAAACTCTATATTCAAAAGCACTAACCTTTCTATTTTTCTTTAAATTTCTTGAATAAATGACACTTTCATACATTTATAAATATATTTATTAGAACAATAATAAACGCAGCAATTTTGATGGCAACATTTCGCAGAATTTACTAAGTGAGCATTTGAACTTGGAATAAATTTAAAATTCATCACTTGCTCTTTTACATTGTGGGACGATTGCTATCCTTTTGAGAATAACTGAATAAGAGTTGTAATTCGCAACAGATGATACTTAAAAAGAATTAACGCCGCTAGTTCCATTGAGAATTATAAAAGAAGACTTCCTCCCACGACGAAGACCGTGACAAAGAAAAACTGTCAATAATTAATAAAAACTTTTTTTGAGTTTTTCAGCGACCGTCATAGTTGTTCTTTTTTCTCAGAAAATGGTCGACCTTCACATTTTGAATTTTATCTTTTTTCCCGGATGTTTTGCCTCCTGCATCGACCCATGTCAAGAGAGAATAGAATGCGAGAGTTTCTTGGATTCTTGTGGGATGAACACTGCTGAAACTGATCCAGGCCCTAATCACCTTCTTACTTCGCTAACACTCCCCCTCAATTACCACATCCATTTCGAAATTAAAACTAACGCATTCGACCCCTGCGCTGAAATGACAAGTTGCACAACTTTAGTTGGCTCTTCCACGATCGTGCCTGCTCGAGACACTCTTCTTGCGAGAGTGACTGCCGCTGTTAATTACAGATTTTCTGCTGAAGTTTATTGTGACCATGGAATGGAGCTTAACGGTTACAAGAATATAATTCATGTCACTGCTGGAGGGAACAATGGCAATATGGGTGATCGAACTTTCAAGGGGGTTGACATCATGAACCGTTTATGTCATCAGAAATTTTCCTGACAGACTTCATACTTAGACCTTTTGGAAACACGCATTGCACAATTCATTTAATAAAAATCCCGCTTTGTCATTTCTGAGTTTTCATCAATGCGAGGTTCCGATGTCCACCCCTTTTAGCTAACAAGAAGTAACCAGCAGCAGTATATCGAGATCGGCGTTGCTGATCCGAATTCTTCGCACAAAGTAAGATACGAGCATTTCCCGTGCTATGATGGGGAATGGAACACCTATTCTCTGGAAGTTAGGCAACAAGAAAACTCTCCCACGACGATTCGCTATGTCATCAGCGTTGATGGCATTAGACTTGGCGATGGCTCCTATGACGTGGATGAAGCAGTGACTTCTGGTGATCTACAAGTCTTTGTCTCTGACAGTTGGCACGATTCTGCAACATCTTTACTTGTCCGAAATTTTGTCTACCAAGTCTTTCCCGAGATGACCCCATGCGACGGGCTCGCCAGCTGTACGACTTTTATAGGGGCCTCAGAAATTGCTCCGGCTAAGAATACTAAATTAGCGACTGTTTCCGCCGCCCTAAATTACAAATTCTCCGCTGATATTTATTGCGATCATAGCTTGCAGGGCGTGGGCGGTTGGCTTACGATACTTAATGTGAATGTTGGAGAAAACACGGAATCGTATCGAGCGTTTTTAATACAAAGAAATTCAAATGATGAAATCTTTGTTATCTTCTACACGGGAGGGTCCCAGACTGCACAAATAGTTCAGTGCAATCAGGGCAAGTGGCACACTTACTCTCTTGAAGTAAGGAAACTTGACAGCTCTTCAACAACACTGAGATTTGTCGTCAGCGTTGATAATAAACAAGTCAAAATGGGAACCTTTGATTCAGCTTCGGCGTATACTTCTGGTGATCTGCAGGTCTATGTCTCTGATAATTGGTATGGAGCCGCAAAAACCTATCTTGTCCGTAATTTCTTTTATCAAAAATTCGATAATGGACTTAATACTCAACCATTTTTTGTTCTCGGTACAAAAACAGCGGATATATCGAACGCGCAAACAAGTGACGGGAACATGTTTTTCAGGTAACAAATATCTGACTAATATCGTCATTTATATTATTCCTGAGTTCATAATAAATTACTATTACTAATAATTAAGAATAAATAAGAACGAATGTTGGGAATATGGGCCGCTTGATAACTCAGATATGGCCGATTTTGTGCGTGGACAAGTGACAACTTGGACTCTTGATGTTTCGGAGCTTCCGGAGAGCTGTCTCCAAAACATTAACCAGATAGTAATCAGAGAAAAGAGTGGTGACGGGTGGACTCCAGAGTGGCTTGCAATAACGACAGTCGATTCTATAGCTTGTGAAACGACGAAGTACTTATATGAGGTAAATAATTAACTGTTGATTATTATGTGCAGGCCATGATAAATCTTCAAAGACGGAGGAGATCGACGGGGAAACAAAGATATTAAATTCGGATGTTCAACTCGGACCACAAATTAGCAATCATAAATGTCCCGACGAGAATCTTTGCGCTGGACTTCAAAACTGTCAGGTTTTAGTTGGTCCTACTCCACTTGTTCCGTTAAGAAATAATCTGATCAAAACAGTTAGTGCTGCTTTAAACTACAGATTCTCAGTGGAGGTTTTCTGTGATCATAGCATGCCACTTGATAATCACAAAAATGTTCTCCATGTGACCACTGGCGAACGTTATGGTTACGCTGGCGCTCGAACATTTATGATTGAAAGAAGCAATGTTGATAATACAATAAGCGTTTTTGCCACAGATACGGGCTTGTGGGACAAACACTACAAACAAAGTGGTTTATCATGCAATCATGGAGAATGGAACTCATATTCTGTCGAAGTGAGACAGCTTCCTAGCGCTCCAAAGACGCTCCGATACGTCATCAGTTTTGATGGAGCTCAAGTTCGTGTTGGTGAATATGACGCTACCGAAGCCATCAACAGACTAAATATTGATTGGAAGGTCTTCGTCTCTAGTAGTTATTTCGATCCCGCTTACGCTTCTTTCGTACGAAATTTCATTTACCAAACATTTGAAGATCTGCCGTTCTGCGAAGATCCTTGCGCTTGGCGAGAAACCTGTACTACTTTCGTTGATAGCTGCGCAATAACGCCTGCACAAAACAATCTCAGAGCAACATTCAAGGCCGCGCTCAATTACAAATTCTCAGTTGATGTTCTCTGCGGTCACAGTTCTTACTGGGCATGGAGGAATATTATTGAAGTCAACAAGGAATATTCTCAAACCAATAATGCGGCTGGCTACAGACAATTTGCCATTTATTCGGTAAAGGATTCTCCTGACTTGGAAATCACTGTAAATGACCCGACGAAAAATGAACAACGACTGAGATTTTACAGGTCCTGCGTTTCCGGAGAATGGAACACATATTCTGTTATCGTTAGACAAGTTCCTGACTCTCTAACGACACTGCGCTACGTTTTGAGAATAGACGCCGTAGAAGTCGCCAATGGAACTTATGATGTTAGTCAAGCTTACGCGATTGGTGATCTTTATGCTATGGTTTCGAATAATTACGATGCGACGTCTGCGCAGAATGAAGTTCGAAACTTCTATTTTCAAAGATTTGAGGACAGAAATATTTTTCAAATGGCAAATATTGCATGGATCGAGAAATCAAAGTATGATAGAGGAAAGCGTTTTTTCTCAATTGATCTTGATGACAATTATGATGACTTTTCTATCAGGAAAGAGGATAAAGCGAAACAGCAACGACTCTTAATAAAAATCATCTTTTATTCATTAGCTATCCATTCTTAGCATTGTCGACCAAAGTTTCGATCCCGCATACTTCGGACTGCAAAAATCAATTAAAGGTCAAGCAGGAGCATGGCATTACTTTTCAATTCATCAGCGAGAAATTCAGCCTGGAAAATTGCTCCGAACTTTCAAACACAATGATATTATCTACCATGAGGATTTATCATACACTCCAGACGCTCTTTATGACAGAACAATTTATGCTCATCTATTCTACGACAGAACGACTTCGGGAGAGCTAGCTGGAATCAGAAATTTCTATCTTGAAACAATTGATTCTTGCGTCGAACTTTGCGACAATCTCACTCGCTGTACAACAAAAGGTTGTTCCAACTCAGAGTCAGGCATCGTCTGTACTTGTCCTTCTGGATATCAGAGTTTGAACACCGTCGAAAATGACTGTGATAACTACCACTGCTTCGATACTGATGAGTGTTTGGATCAAAATTCATGCCCATCTGCGAACGAAATTTGCGAGAACACGATCGGGAGCTTTTTATGCAACTGCATGAATGGATTTTTACGGAAAAATGGAGCATGCGAAGACATAAACGAGTGTGAGATTGAAACCCATAATTGTCCAGTATTTTCAACTTGCAAGAATTTAAACGGGAGCTTCGAGTGTTTCTGTAATCCCGGTTTTCTTGAAGAAACTTGTTCTGGATTTTCGAATTGCCAGAATCTGGAGTGTGTTGATGAAGATGAATGCTCGCTTGAACCATGCGACCAGAATATGATCTGCAGTAATACGATCGGAAGCTACTCGTGTGACTGTGTTGACGGAATGAAAATGGTGGCCGGCGGCTGTTCTGATATTGATGAGTGTGAAGAAGAAAATGCTTGCCCAGAATATTCGATTTGCAAAAATTTTGAAAGGAGTTTTGAGTGTTTTTGTCAAGCTGGTTTTGACGGGGGATTTTGTTTTGGTGAGCAGCAATGCTCGAATTTTACCTGTTTCGATATTGACGAATGCGAAAGTGGTGAGCACTTGTGCGAAGAAATCTGCATCAATACTATTGGAAGCTTCACTTGCTCGTGTCCCGTTCCTATGCGACAAGTCGACTTGTTTAAATGCGAAGATGTCAGCTTTGACGGGAATAAAATGACTGAAATGGAGGATGAAGAGCTTCAAAAAATGATGGAAAACGAGCTTGGAAGTATACACGAAAAAATGCAACTTGCGTTGAAATTCACTAATGACTCGAAACTTGTTTCAGAAGCAATCGGCGAAGCTTCAGCGAGAACTGGAAATCTTCTGTCAAATCTTCTCGCTCCGAAAACAGGAGATGATTCTTTTTTGAAGGAAATCGGATCGTCGAGTGTTGATTTGCTGCTGGAAAAAAGCGAGAGCATAGTTTCTATAAGAACTGGTTTGAATTCGCTTCTTGAGGCGATTTCTGATGACTCTCCCTCGACTGAATTTATCGTCTTCGGAGAAAATATTTCAATTCCGATTTTATACGGCGAATCAAGATCAAGAAAGAATGGATTGCTAGCTGAGATAAAATTCAATCCCTTTATCTACTCTGACGACGATTTGAGACTTGCCAATCAAGTTTTGTATTCTTCCAATTTCGAGGGCTACGCTCAGATGAGATTCAAACAAGAACCTAAAACGATTGAAAAGAGCTTGCTACCAGGTCAAGGAGAGGTAGTGAGATTCGACCTTGAAAACAACGAGGATTTTTTCGTATTTTTCGATTTCGATGAGAGTATTTATGTTGATGTTTTTGTCGACTTCTGGTACAAGCCCGACCCAAAGCTGCTCTCTTATCGGCATCACGTGACTCTTCCCTCGTTTAAAAATGCTTCCGAATTGTCTGCAACAAAATGCACCGTGAACGTCTGCTCAGGTGATCCGTATGGAATACATTTTGAGAAGAAAGAGGTCGAGCTCTGCTTTTCTCGACAAAAATGCTCAATTTTCATCCTCATCAAGTCGAATCCTCTTCAAAAAGACGATGAAAAAAAGGAAGAAACAAAGATCAAAATAACCTCCGTTTCTGCGTCCTGCGTCACAGAAAAATCACAAAAATGGAATCGAGACTTCTGCGCAGTTATGAGCGATTCAACCGCTGAAAATATCAAGTGCTCATGCGAGATCTCTTCTGGCGACAAAATCACGTCCCGAGCTGGAGGCTTCACTACTGTCGCGGACTATTACACAGTCTTCGTCAACAAGATCATTACAGTTAGCATGAAACTGTTCCCAGTCCTCCTGGGTTTTCTTTGGATGGGTATTCTTATTCGCAGTCACTTTTTGGACCGTCAAAATAGCAAGAGCAATTTTCTTCACCCTCCTGCGCTTCTTATACGAAAAAGCTTCCAAACGGTCGCCGGTTTTTACATTATTTCCATCAATTCGCGATTTTCCTTCAATAAGGCGCCCAAAATGCTCAAGCTGGAAGTTTATTATCTCGACTTTCTCAACAGACACCAAATTCTCGAGTTTTATCTTGGCTCCGAAACTAGCCGAATATTCGAAAACGGAAAAATTACGAATTTTCTGATACAGCTTCCGATTATGAAAATCAAGAGCCTGAAATTGTCGACAAATTTTCATAAAGAGCTCGAAGCATCATTCCTGCCAAAGAAAATATCTTTCTTCAAGGTTCACCAATTTCCTCTATCGAATTCGAAGGGATTTATTAATTGCATTTCTTGGCACGAATGTACAGTTATGTATGAGGAGAACGACGAGATATCTGTTTTGGGGACCGAAGAAGTTTCCTCATCAAAAATTATTTCTGATAAATGTATCGAAGAAAGCAATTTCCTTGAAAAGCTTATCGAAAATAACCACTGGCTGGGCCCTGCAATATCGAGAAGACAAAGTGAAATTCCGGGGTCATCGCGACTTGTTTTCGCTGGATTCTCCTTCTTGCTATCAACATTTCTCTCCTTTCTATATTCCTTTTACCTGGCTAATTCAATTTCTAAGTTTATTCCTGTGAAGTTTCTGCTCTTTGGACCTCTTACTCTCTCTACTCTTCAAGTACCGCTGTTAGCAATCGTTTTGCTGATGTTTCCGATGCAGATGTACAGTCGCACTCTTTTACTGAAGATTGCTAGAATGCGTTTTATACAACGCTTCGTTAGTCATACTTTCGCCGGGGTTTTAATATTATTTTTTGGCGAATTTATGCTGCTTCAAACATCAGCTCTTAGGATTGGTCAAGCTATGTGAACTGTTTTCACAGAAAATACTCATCTTGACCTAAAAGCAGTGAAATATACTTCGACTTATGGATGACAGGAAATTATTTTATCGTTGTTCTTGAGCTCTTTCTGATACCTCTCATCGTCTGTTTAAGAAAAACAGCCAACCAGGGTGAGCTCGAATACACGTTTTTGGAAAAGTCGGAGTCATATGAAAACGGACTGTACCAAAAGCTCACGAAATCAGTTTTGGATAGAAAAGCAATCACAAATCTGGTCTACAGATCAAAACACAAGACTGACTTTTACATCACTTTGCGTCGATTTATTTCTTATTTATTCTTGACATTGAGCTTGTATGGTCTCTCAACAGTCATTTTACCGACTGAGAAGTACTACCTCGACAAAAACTTCCGCGACAAAATCTCCATCGTTCCGAGTCAGACCCAACTCAATGTCAGTTCAACTTGGGATTTAATTCAAGACGAAATCGTTCCGCTCATCCACTCCGGCAATCTCAGTAACGGCGAAAAGGCAAGCGTGAAAGACAAAGCCTACGCAAGAGACAGTGTCAACTTCCGCCTTGGCCCTGCTTCTTTGATTCAGCATCGTGATCAGTGCGGCTTTTTCACTACTTATTGGAATCCCCAGCTGAATGTAACAGAAAGAGTCATCGAAAAGGTCAAGAAGTCGCCACTTCTCTCGTCTTATTTTTCAAAAACAAAATCGTTTCTTTCTTCAGACATCTTTCTCCAAACTCCTTCACGACTTTCCCGTTCGACTTGCGCATTCACCTCTATTCTCGGGACCTCAAAAGAAAGTGCTGATTACATGACGAATTATCTCCGCAAAAACGCCTGGTTCGACCAAAACACAAAACTGCTCATCTTTGAACAGAGCTTTTTGAACATGAACATCAACGCTTTTGCTCAATTTCGAGTGGTCTTCGAATTCGCGGAAGGAGGTGCCATCATTCCTTCTCTGACGATCCAGCAGCTCAAGAATGTGGAACTGACGGACTACACTTTCTCATTCAACCTCATTGTTTTTATTGCCCTGCTTCTTTATGAAACAATCGAGATCTTCAGTATTTTGAGAAAGCGGGAAGTAAGCTTTCTTTCATTATATAAAATAATGCTGACGATGATCGACGTCGTGATTTTGGCCTTCATCATTCTCCGATCAAATTATCTCTCCGAAGCAATCGACAACTTCAACCTGGATCCAAAAGGGGCTCCGACATTTTCAAAAGTGTTTTTGATTCAGCATCATTTCATTTCGCTCGTCGCGATGTCTCTTTTTCTACACAGCTTTCTGCTCATCCACATTCTCTCAACTCTCAACGCCGTCAGACGTAAAGTACTAGAGCCTATTCCTTCTCAATTATTTTTCAGAGTACAAGAGCATCCTCAAACAACTGAAAAGGACCCTGGCTCCATTTGTGTTGGCGCTTTTGCCGATTCAATTCGGACTCTCCTCTGTCGTCTTCCTGATCTTCCGCTACTCATCCTTCATTTTCCGCTCTTTGTGGAAAACCTTCTTTGTCATCATTTGGCAGGGCTATCTCAAGCCTTCAGGTACACTCCTTTTTTCGACAACAAACATAATTTTTGAAGATATGCGAGTTGAAGTAGACGAACTTCCCGATCCGAACTGGCGCTTACTGGCGAAGTTCATCTACTTTGCTTTGAATCTTTCGATGATGTACTTGACGATGAATGTAATTGTGGCGATTATTTGCGACACGAATCAAAGCGTGAAAGAAGACGAGCTCGAATTAGACTGGCTCAGTCTTGTCTCGGAAAAGATCAAGAAGTTACGAAGAAAAGCTGCGCCGAAGAAGATGAATAATATGAAGTCAATCAATCGGAGAGAGACATATAGTTAGGGGGTGCACAGTGGGAAAATCGGAAAATTTAAAAGTACATGTATCGATAATATGACCTTTCAAAAAGATCCGTTTTCATCTAAGGATCATTTTATTTCATTACAAGAAAACTCAAAAAACACATTTTCACCCCTCAAATCACGTGAGAAGGGTAGACTAAACATACTTTTGCCTGTAGAAAAAAAGTGCCAAAAGGTTACCTCGTAATTTTCTAGTATTAGAGAAAGCAGATTATGCGCTTTCAAATGATAGTCATATGATTTTGTGCACTCGTGAGCAAAAAATTCTAGAGCCGATTTTCTGTCAAAACCCTTCATTTTTCGGCCAAGTGGGGTGTTCGAATCCCGACGATGACATTTTTTTTTCATGACTGTTTTCCAGTCTAGATGACTGAAACTGATCATGTGATCTGGCTTGAGTCATAAATTGTCCTCCGGAGGAATTCGCTGGTAGAAGAATGCTTCTGAAAGAGGGAAAAAATTATTATAATTTCAAAAAATTTATTATAATTATAATCTCAGCCCCGTCCCTGGCTTTTAATTTTAAATGGGCTTGACCGCCCTTCGGGCCGTCTCAGCCCCGTCCCTGACTTTTAATTTTAAATGGGCTTGACGGCCCTTCGGGCCGTCTCAGCCCCGTCCCTGGCTTTTAATTTTAAATGGGCTTGACGGCCCTTCGGGCCGTCTTAGCCCCGTCCCTGGCTTTTAATTTTAAATGGGCTTGACGGCCCTTCGGGCCGTCTCAGCCCCGTCCCTTTTACAGTGAAATTTAATTTTTCTCATTTTTTCATATTTTTCTCTGATGGCTCAGGATGGGTCTGGATGAGTGTTATATGATAATTCATATGATCAGTGATCATCAGCGATCAAAATCATGCAAAGAAACCCTAGTTACGTCGATTTTGAGAAAAATCAGATTTTGACCTCATGTGACCTCACGTTACCTTTTATGACCCCAAGTCACATGTTCAAATGATCAGTGGATCATGGGCTTTTCATCGATATATTATTCATCCCTATAAGAGGATGATTAAAAATTCGATTTTCCCACTGTGCACCCCCTACATATAGTCTATATGATATAGAGTGCCTCCCTAATTCTGCAAATAAAAAAACATAACCAGATTCTCTGTTGCTCGGAATACATAATTGACAAATTTAATCAGTAAGATTGATATTGCAAAAACACTCAAGACCAAACCTGGGCGAAAATTTTTATAGGAAACGCGAGAGGGGCAAGGCAAATCTCGCGCATCAGCTCTGGCGCTAGCCAAAGGTCTTTGGCTTGCTTTTTTGTCGCGATCCCTTCTCGCTCCCCCGCGATTTGACACCCTGTTTCTGACACACTATAGAACTTTTTGTACAACAGACATGCCCAAAATTTTCGCTGGTCCATACTAAAAAGTTTACAGAGTAAACAGAGACAGGTCTGACGAAAATTACTCCCCGAAATAATAAAAGATTCAGGGCTGTTAAACATCAAAGATCCATAGATAAATACAGATTTGCTCCCTGTTCAACCGGTTTTCTCTCCAGATCAGTATTTGTTTCGCTGATCTGTCTCTGTCGAACACTGTAAACAAGGGCAATTTCTTGCTCAAACTAAAATTGATCTGTTTCATTAATACAGACCTGTAAATATATGGTAAATAAATGGTAATTTGTTTTTATGTGAGAGCTTTTTTGTTTATCCATTTTGCCTTGCTATAAGATCTATAAACAGTCCATAGACAGGGTGAAAGACAGAAGAACAGAGAAAATTTCCTTTTATGTTGACAAATCCGCAAAAATAGCGGAAAAACCGAAATTCGGTACATTTTTGAAAACTTCGGGTTCAAAAAATATGAACCAAATTTAGGATGTTAAATGTAGTAATTTTCTATTTTGTTAACATTTTTTAATCATAATTTATGTGACATAGATCCTTCATAATGAATAAAGTACCCACAAAAAGAGAGTCCACAGAAGAGAAAAGAAATCGCATGATTATAAGTTAGTATTTTTATAAACTACAGTAATCAATAGATGATAGAAATATAATCGGATGATCAGATGCCTGTCCATGCTTAGAAATAATATCTGTCGAAATGACAGTATCATTCGAATCTTTTTGAAAGTTCCAAAAACAATATTATTAGATGAGTTCCCTTATACAGTTATTTTCCTCTTTTGTGGCCACTTTTGGCGCATAATTTTCATAAAAAATATCCCGCCGTAAGGCCTAAAAATTTTTTCTTACATTTATTTTTCTTCGAAAAATGGCGAATTTAATCATTGAAACGCTTTTTCTACCTGTTTTACCATTTTGGGTTAATGAAGCTTTATTACTTATACGGTAAAAGCCATTTATTTTATAAAGAACATCCTTATTTTTGAAAAAACAATCTGTTTCTTCCTTTTAAATTTTTTCGGCTTGACGAAGGGCCAAAAAATGAAGCATCATCCTTGCATAAGAGTCCCTCGAAAACCCCTTAAAATGAAGAAATGACCACGAAATTGGGGTCCACAAAAGAGGAAAAAACAGTGTCGTTATATCAAATTCTGTAACCTTCACCTAATGTCATATTTTGAATCGGAAATTCATATCCATAAGCTTCGCCGGGGAAAATAATGATAGACCGGTCCAAAAGTAATGCGGATGTATGATGCATAGCCTAAAAATATGATTTTTTTAATTTTTGGCAATTTATATCATATTATTTGAGTAAAGAACATTTTGTTTATAATCTCACAAATAACATACGATATCCTTTATCAGCCTTCACAAAAAAGTGTCTAAGAATAATATTTATACAATTTTTACAACACTCAAACAAATAATATGGTTTGACTAACGGGTTAATGTTATGCTATTTAATATATTCTTGTGGTCAGAAAAACCCTGCTTAATTACTTCGGAAAGAACGCCGGCAATTGACCACTCGTTCTTCATAAGTCGCCAAACTTCATCCAATGGGCTATACCAACTCTCGTGGCCTCCGATGGTAAGAAGACTTCCTGAAGGTAGCCCAACTGCAGAAAATTTTTGTAATGTCCTAAATAATAGTATGATTTTTTTACTTCAAAACTACCGTGGATGTTTCTGCAGTGAAATCCAGCCATCTTCTGTCAACGTTTCAACATGTGCTTCAGTATCATCCCAAAATAAACTTGCATATCTATCTCCTCCGATTGCTGTCGGATTACCATTATATAAACCCAATTCACCTTCGTCGTGATCGTGTTTTGCCGAAAATGTTCTCGTTGAATTAAGTCCATCAAACAACTCGCATGTTTTTGAATACCAATTACCGAAACAAATGAGTGCTTAAAAAAAAGAATCATTGTCGATTTTTCGCTAGTTAAAAGGTCATGTCAATGTGTTTTCTATGGCAAACAGACTATTGCCCACTGACTATGGGTACGAAGTATCGGGATATCGAGTATCCCGTGGCAAAAAATGTAGAAATTTCTGATTAAGCAGGTCAATTTTGAATACTCAGGTATATGAAAAAGGGTTGAAGAAATATAGAAGCGTTTTTAGGAAAGAATTTTTACGATGTTTATGCTCATTATTTGGCATTAAAAGTAATAACTAGTAACAGCCTTTACAAAATGACGAAAAATATCTCGACGCCTCTCCTTCAAGTTATTGTATATCATTTATATATTTCGCACTCACAATAACCTTTCTTATATAAACGTTAATATTCTAACCTTTGCTACCTTCGTCAACTGTTAAAGCTGCATGATCAGATGAGTATGAAAAAATAAGTTCAATTGATAGTTTTGTAAATTGACAGCCATCTAATCGAGATATCTAAAGAGAAATCTAAGGTTTATATATCGATAAACCCGTTGCATATTTGATTTTTTATAAATTGATATATAAGTTTCTTCTTTGGACATATTTTGAAAAATAATAATACGAAAAACCCACTTCAGAATGCAATTTAAGAATCTTCCTTAAAGAATTAATATAAATTCAATAAAATTCAATAAAGTATACTGAAAAATTATAATTTTAGAAGTCTATTTTCACGTAATGGAGATATCATATCCGTTTTCAGTGGAAAAGCTGCTTTAAAATGATACCAAAAAATATGTCCGGATTTCAAGGGGAAAAAAGGACTAAAACGGACTTGTTCGAAAAACACCGGACGAAAATCCGTTTTTATATCCGAACACGGACTGACTAGACTTTAGATTTTAACGGAGAACACAGACACGGACGAATTATTTTAAGACAAAAACGAGATTTTATCTTGGCCTTGGCTCAAGCGCCCTTAAATCGCTTGTCAAATGTCATAATAAAATCACGGTATAAAAAATATTACTATTTTTTTGCGAGAGATTGCCCTTTTTTGAGAAAAGAAATCAAAAATGCCAATTAGATTATTAGATACAAACACTCTAGAAAATACCTAAAAAAAAGGCTGGTTGAAAAATTGATTTTAAGTACAGTTTCTGAAAAAAATTCGTAACAGGGATTCGGCGCTACGACAATAAAATATTCAAAGCTTTATGCTTGAAACAAATGCTTACCCCTAAAGGATTATAAAAGCCTCCAAATATATGCACATAATCGTTAACAAGCGCATGTCTCGAGTTCATTATGTAATTCGAAATGGTCTGGCTTTTAACAAATCTCGTTTCCGACGGGGAATAAAAATATCCCGGTTTTTTAATGTACTCATCTATTAGCAATGAATAAGGTTCGTAAAAATCATAAGAGTTACGAGAAGGAATAACGTTGATCTGCCTCGGCTTCGAGTGAATGAGTTTTTTGATTTTAGTGCTATTGTCACACTTATAAATCCTGATTTTTTTGTTGAGAATATTCTCCAGTCCTTTGATTTCAATTTTTGATTTGTGTCCCCACATTTTTGTATAATCCTTTTGGAGTTGAATAATTTTTAATATATAAAAATAAATAAATTCAATTGTGTGACAAGTTTATGCTTCCTAAAGAACGAGAGAAGAGTAGAAAAAGTGCGGGCTTGAGGTGCGGAAATTCCTCATATCACTTTTTAACTTATCAGTGACTTTGAATTATTTTTGTGTATGGCGGCCTTGTTTGCGAACGCTCATCATTATCTTGCGAAGGCCGTTGGTAATCTTCCTAGGCAGTTCGCAACGAACTACAAATTTGCCATGAGTGTGCGCTTTGCGCATTTACTGGTAGAGAACTGATAAGCTTGGCAGAAGCTTATTTTTCTCAAGTTTAAACACATTTTGAAAAAATTATGAGCAATTATCGGCCATAAATTTTTTTATTTTTCGAATGACTTTTGTAATTCACGAACAAAGCCGGCCGCCACCGCTTTTTTTTATCTTTTAAATAAATATTGGTGAAATTTAAAAATATAATTATCTGTTACAACCCTTCCTCAAGAAACTCAATAAAGTATAATTTTGAAGAGTGATCAAGAATAAATGAAATTCCCAATTCAACCAATTCTGAAGAGTTTGATTTCAAAATAAACCGTTCATTAAAAAAATCAGAAAAAATCCAAAGAGAGCTATCTGATGATATTCCGAAGCTGAAAAGGGTCGTTCCATCAAAGAATTTGCATTCAAGGATTTTACTTTCTCTATGAGCGCGAAGACTCCCCTGAAAATCAATGCTCAGGTCGAAACTTTCTTGTCCATTCAGTTTCATCTCGACAGTCGAAATATGTTTAAATCCTTCAAGCAACGAAAAAGGTTCATCCCAAATATTATTAGGTATGATTGTTGTAAAGGTCGGGCTTGGGATAGGAAATCGTCGCTGGGGCTTGACGCTATTTTTTGAAAAAGCCGGAAAGACATCTTTGTGGAATGCAAAATAAGGATTACTGGTCACATGCATTTCCATTACTGCTTTTTGCTGCACAAACTCGATTTCGATTTCGTCTTGTTTATTGGTTAAAATGTGGACTTGTCTATGTTTTTGAACAAGAGTTATCAACCATTTCCTAAATTAAATACAACCTCAAATCTTGCATCAAAAATATAGTTTTCAATATAAATTTTTTCGTCGTTGATGATGCCATTCGCAAAGTACTCGCATTCATCATTTATGATTCCTCCTAGATTTGTGTAATACAAATCATCTGGGGCAAATAATTTCGAATCGCAGATTGATTTTTTTTGATATTTAATTAAAGAGCCAATCCACTCTCTACCAATTGAGAAAAATTTTCCATCTGCATCCAATAAGACCGAATATAGTGTGTTAGAGAGGGAAATACTTCTTGCTACCATAATAAGAATCAGTTTTCCGGAATCTATCTTTTTTGAGCTATAATTGATAAGCCTCTTCCAAATAAGAATAATAAATTGTTTTTAACTCGTTTCAAAGGGACGACGTGGACGGGATCCAGGCTTTTAAACTCCGTGGGCAATTTGATTTCGTCCTTTTTCCACCCTCTTTCCAATTCCTCACTTTGCCTTATTCGGTTTAATGCCTTAGTTTTGGAGAGTTTGATGAAATGTTCGCCAAGCCTGACACTCATAAGATGAAAAAAATCATTGAAACTAATTGCGGAAACTTTTGCATTGAAATGATTGCTTGCAATGAATCCTTGTGCTTCTTCGAAACGATCAAGATTGTAATCAGGAGCGTAATAATAGCATTTATCCGATCTTCTATTCGGAGAGCTAGAAAAGCTCAAAAATAATCAAAGCCTATTTCTGTCAGATTTGATTCGTAATCATTTTTCGACCTTTTTCAGATGACAACAACTGGAAAAATAAATCTATCATTTTCTTTTCGACGAATCTCAATTCGATGGGTTCCTATCGCAGAACCAAAGTGAAATACAAAAAATCCTCTAAACAAAGATATAGTTAATGTAAGGGCTGGCAAATATGAGCAATTTAATAAATCGAAAAATTTGACCCGATTTACCTCCGAATAACTGAAATATCAGCATTTCTTTCATAAACTTGACAAGAAAAATTTTTAACTAAGAAAATTAGAATTTTCGCAAAAATAAGGTCATTCTCGTCAATTTTCGGCGAAAAGTCCAATTTTCAAATGCAATTTTTGGGATGAAGAAGAAGACTCCCAAAAATGAAGCCTCAAAATGGGGGGTATTGAATTGTGCCGCCCTGCGCCGCCCAGCGTCGCCCGGTCCGAAATCATCCGGCACTCATCCGACCCAACAATAACCTAAGAAACAATTCTGAACAAGAGCGAGAGTTGGGCCCCGCCAATTTAATGAGTTTTCTACCAGAAAATGCGCGCGTAAGGGCCTCTGGCCCGCCACGCGCTTAAGGATATAAGCTATGAATTTGAACTTTCGTAGCGCCTAAATGCGAAGTAGGATCATTTTCACTTCAAGAGTAATCCTACTTAAAAATGCACGTAAAACTCAAATCTGGTACTTTAAAAAAAAATTTTATAGAAAATTTTCATTTTAGAGCGTTTTCAAATCTTACGATCGCGATTCCTCGAAATTTTTCCACTAAATGGTTCCATAAAATGGTTGAGTTTTTTCGATAAATAACTTCTCTTAACCCTTATCTACAAAATTGACGGTTCAGTTTTCCCTAATTCCGACCAAAACCGATTTTAGAGCCATTTCCATGAGGCTTACCCAGCGCGTGAATAGTGTAAAAAGCGGCGCGCTGGGCGCTCGCTCTCTCGACTCCTCTTTTCCGTGAGATTGGCGCGGTTGAGCGGAGCGCTTTGATTGGTTGCACGCGAAAAAGCACAAAAAGAAGAAAAACACGAGCAAGAAAGAGGAAAACGCTAGAATGAAAATTCGAGGGAGTTTTGGAAAAAAAGCCCGTCAATTTTTTAGCTTAACATCATCGAAATAATTGGCACGGTTTAGTTTTAGCGATTCAATGAAAAAATTTCGAGAAATCGAGATCGTAAGATTTGAAAACGCTCTAAAAGGAGAATTTTCTATAAAATTTTTTTTAAAATACCAGATTTGAGTTTTGCGTGCATTTTTAGGTAGGATTGCTTTTGAAATGAAAATGATCCTACTTCCCATTTAGGCGCTACAAAAGTTCAAATTCATAGCTTATATCCTTAATTACAGTTGACTCGCACAATTTGGACCCGCACAATTCGGCCCTTTTTCCGAATTTTGCAAAAATTAATGAAATTCGCTCAATAAGCCATCTTTGTGAATTTCTGTCGAATTTGCTTGCTCAAACGTATTTTGTAAGATGTATTTACGAGATAAATGCTATTTCTTAATCTTTCTTCTGGTAAACACGTAGAATTTACGGGGAAAATTGACGAAAAAAGTGATATTTCAACATTTTAGGGCTCCAAAATTGATCTTTTTTAAAGTAACAGCAAATTAATTCGAATTTCGGACCCGCACAATTCGGCCCTTTTTCGAGAAATCTGCTAAACAAAAAAGGTCCAAATTGTGCAAGTAAACCGAAATTAGTGATTTTATGCGAAAATCTGAATTAAGGTAGGATCTCCGTACAGCATCAAGTCTCAGAGTCTATTTTAAAATCTCTTTTCAAAATTCTCATGAAATTCTGACCATAAAACTTCAGATAAGCATTTACTCTGTCTCAATCCGTTTTCCCGCAAATTGCAATTGAAAATGGCGAAATTAGTGTATTTTGGCTAGAAGGCGGAAATTCTTAAATTTTCATCTTTTTCGGTCGTTTTGCTAGGTTGTCATATGATACCTTTTTTGTAAGCTCATGTTCAAGAGATTAATTTGGAATGAAGACAGTGCCTTTTGGACTATGCCCGCAAGGCAATTTAGGGGGCCAAAGGGACAAAAACCAGATACCTTCATACTCTAAAAATTTTTACATTGAAAATTTTGACCATTTGGAAAATGCTCGTTTCAGTTCTAAGATAATGTTCTAAGCTTTACTCTCAAAAAATATTCGATCGGTTTTCTTTACAATTTTTTGAGGTGAGTCGCCTTGAATATAGGCTTATTTTGCGATTTTTCGCTGAGACGACAACTTTGAGCGACTAGCTCGTGACATTTTTCTAAGAATTTTGTAAAAATCTCGTATCAATCAGAAGATCTTGGATCGAACTTTATTTTAAGCCATTACACGCCTAACCAGCATTGTTGGGTTCGGAGGAGAGTCTCTCTGCTTTGGGCCTGTACGGGGATCCTACCCTTAAAATCGGCTTCAAAGTTTTGCTCCACTTTGAAGTATTTCCGAAAAATAACAAGAGAGGACTTTTTTCCACCGAAGAACCAGTTTAATTTTTGGGTTGTGGATCGGGTTTGGGTATCTGTCTGGGTCTAAATTCCGTCCTAGATTCTAATTTGGGCTCGAGCTTGTATTTAGACTGGAGTTTGGCCTATAAAACGACCTCTAGAAGGCGGTAAAGGCGATGTGTCATATACGACACATTGTCGTCGGTAAGATATCTTCCGCCGGGAAAATTTTACATTTTTTGGGGATTTTGGTTTGAGTTCTGGTTAGAATTGAGGCTTGAATTTTGTTCCAGAATCTAATTTTTGTTCGGGTGTGGCATAACCTCGGGTTTGGCCATTATAATCGCCTCTAGAAAATAGTAAAGGCGATGTATCATATACGACACATTGTCGTCGGTGCGGGAAATTTTCGTTTATCGTCGTAAGGTTAAATTGCATTCATTGAGTCACAAGAATCTTGATTCTTCATATTTAACTGCACAGCCATTTTTTGACATTCTATTTCTGGGTGCGCGTCAGTTAAGGCGTTTTTGCCATTTGCGTTCTTTAAGGATGTGTGGGGCAAATTTCGGCAAATTGACCATTTTCAAACAGCCCTCAAGCTCAGATGGGTAATAAAATTTTTAAAAACTCTTCTTCTATTTATAGATTGGACCCTAAACTAGAGTTGAAATTTTTTTCAGAAAAAATGATTAAGGGATTCTGGCCATAATGACCTCGACTCCATGTCATGTCCGTGAAAATCGTCATTTTGCGTCATTTTCGAACGCGATTTTTTTAATGAAAATATTTTAATTTTTTAAAACTTAGACGCTGAAAAGGAAGTTTAAACGCTGTTCTAGGGTTGAATTGAAGGAATTTAATTTTTCGCAAAAATTGCTTATTTTAAAACTTCAATCGAAAATCGGGTTTCAAATGGTCAAAAAAATGAAATCTAAAATTGCACTAACTCGTAATACAGTTAGATAAGTGAGTCACTGTAATGAATTAAAATACTCAGCGAGTCGTAAGCTTTCTAAAAATACTAAAATAATTACACTTAAAAGACTTTAATAAATCTAAATTCACGAATTTTCATAGAAATGCCAATTTTAAATCCCGTTTTTCACAAACTTTTGTTGACATTGAGAAAAAAAGCTAAAGACATTTTTTGATGCTCTTGATGTGGGCTTTCTAAAAATGGAAAGAAAATTTTAAAATTCGAATTTTCGCCAAGTCGCCCCACACCTCCTTAAGGCATTGCGTCAGTTAAGGCGCTTGCGTCAGTTAAGGCGCTGAAAAATGACTAGTGGAATTCTGATTCGAAGTAGGGTCTGCTAGATTTCTTGATAAAATATTACTTTACCAATTCCTAGGGTAAGTGCCAGAGTTAATATTTTCTCGAGAAAATCTTTTATATTCAATATAAGCTGAACCGCTGGTTTATTATTGAATTTGAAGTTTTTCATGATAGAAATAATTTATTATTTGTAAAAATAAAGGTTCGACACTAAAATTTAGTTAATTTTCTCAGATCGTTTTCAATGTAATTGAAATTATCTGAAATTTAAATCATACGCTGTTAAATTTCAGATTGAAATGAGAAGAATTTCAAGGAAAGTTACAATCGAGGTAATTTAGCAGACCCTAGTTGATATCAGAATTCCGCTAGTCATATTTCAGCGCCTTAACTGACGCAAGTGCCTTAACTGACGCAATGCCTTAAAGAACGCAAATGGCAAAAACGCCTTAACTGACGCGCACCCTCTATTTCTTCAATATTGTTTAAGTGACAATAGATTTTGCGATCAGTTTCACCCTTACAGTAGTCAAGTTCCTTACTGCAGCCAGGTTGATCTACTTGAACGTAACCAAAAAATCACTCGAGCCCGAATTATTTTTCTTTGACAGACAATCGGGCCCAAATTAACCAGCCCTACTTTAAGTCCTTTATGATGACACCTTACAATTCTTTACGTCTGTTAGCAATAAATCTATGAGAACGACCATTGTAGTTTAATTTCATCAAGTTCCCAACTGCATCGACCAAATAATGTTCTCCGTTGAGATAAGTAGCACCAATGGACTTTTGTGTTTTTTTTCATTTATGATTAAGTAACCGAAATTTTTTTAAAATAACACGCGCAACCTGGGGAATTTTAAGAATTACCAAAACTTTGAAGCGCACGATTCAGTAAATTCGCCACAAAACAATCAATTGACAGGTCTTCTTTTCATATTTAGCCATCTTTATCTTTCGTTGCTTTTTATTGTATTGTCATGATCATAAAACCGAAGTACGCGGTTAACCTGTAAAGTAAAAATATTCATTTATTTGAATGATGAGTTACATAATTTCATAAACGGCGAAGTAAAAAGATTGCGTTTTGTTCTATTTTGCGAAAAACAGACCCAAAAATAGGTCTCTTTTAAGCGAAAAAATAAATATTATTTGAAATATATATTAAATATAGACAAAAATGGCGGCGTCATAAAAAAAATAAAAACATAAGCTAAAAAAATAATTGTAAAAACTTTCATAAGAGAACGAAGGTTTTATCTTAAAATTTGTAGTCTTGCCACTAAAGTCCGACAAAACAATTGGAAATTTCTGATCATTCTCACGGTCATCTGTCAATTCTCTAACATCTCCATTATATTCCCATTTAATGGTTTCTTCATAAAGAACCGTTTGTGAAGTTGACGTTAATTCCTGTGATGTAGGGGTAAAATTATTTATTTCATCCAAGCTTTCTTTAGTTTTTGGCATGCGATGTTTCCACCAGATATTATCAACCCAATATGTAGTTGTTGTGGACTGAGAAGTTGTTGTAGACTGAGATGTTGTTGGACGTTCTGTTGTGGTTGCCTTCATTGAATCTTCTGTGAGTTCTATTTCTAAAAGGTCAAAAACAGGAGTCAATTTCTTGCGTGACTCCGTTTTTTCGCACTTATAAAAAGGGCAAGGGCATCCATTTTTACAATATTTCTGAGTTGGACAAACGTCTCCTGCAAATTCAGAAACCCTCGTTAGTTCAAAACAGATAGAAAGGCAAGGAGAAGTGGTGGTAGAACGATAAGGATTTGATTCCAAAACCAACGTGTTTGAGCAGAAATACTGACAGATTTTTTGATCGTAGAACTGTCTCTTCTGGCAGCGTTTGAGATTAATCTCGTTTTCTTCTTCGGAAAAAATATAAGTGTCAGTTTTAATATGTTCGATTTTCAAAACTGGTTCAGGAAGGATGAACTTTTTTGTTTCGTAACATTGCTTCATCAAATGCCCACAGTAATCCATTTCTGCTATTTGAACACACTTTTTGTAATTTCGATGGCAGGTAGAAGTCAAAAAAGTCTTCACGCCCCGGGATCTTTCCAAAGAATGTATATTCGCTAGATTTCTAATTTTTTGATAACAAAGCAACAAAAATACCTATTAGCATGACAGTGATCCAAAACAGAGAGCCAAGAAAAAGATATGTGTATTGCTGGGGATCCGTTGCGCTTCCATGCTTTGCCAAACTCATTTTCGCCGTCATTTTTTTCTTCCATGTTTTTTTTTCTTCAGATTTTCTGATATCATGCTCTTGGGTGTGGATGCTTCGAGTTGACAAAACCTCTTGAGGCAACAACAATACTTCCCTTCCCTTTTTTCTCAGAACCCCAATACAATCACAGTCGAGACACTGAAAATAACTTTTATGACGAAAATGCTGAGTTGTGCCACCCTCCGCCGCCCTGCGCCGCCTAGTGTCGCCGGTTCTCGCCGGATCCGAATATTTTGCCTTTCAAAAGCGGATTTTTAAGTTTTCATGTCAACTTATTTATTCTGACTTATTTATATAGTCATAAAATCAAATGAAAGGTAAACCTATTAACATAATTTAAATATAAACGAAGTATTAAGCTTCGATGTTAAGGGTACGGGTGTCGGCTAAAAACAGAGTAATTAATCGAATTCTTCACAAAATTTTAGCTCAAGTTATAATTAATTGTCACCTGCTATCACTATTTTTTTACGAGATATTGTCACGTGAAAAATTGCCGGAAAAAATTTTTGGCTCAGATTTTTTCCATCTGGGGCTTTTTAGAAAGCTTAGACGATGAGGACCATCATGATAGCCTCGGTTTTCCTTGAATCAGTCTCTAAGCATTACTAGAAGCGAAAATGTGTCGCTCGGTTTAAAAAAAATGCCAATTTTGGGTAAAATGCCAAAGATAGTTTTTTTCAAAAAATAAAATTTCATACTTATTGTTTTTCAATTTCAAAAATCTTTTGACAAAATTAAGATAAGAGTCTGAATTTGTATAAAAAAAAATAAAAAAGGTACGTTTACAGGCTCATTTCTTCGGAATTGCAGCCTCTTTAACTTTAGCCGGTCAAGGTACTCCAATTCTGGATCAACCCTTAGGGTCATTCAATCGCATTTAACTCCAAAAGTTGAAGAAAAAAAATTTTTTTTAATCAACTTTGAGGACCTTTTTACGATCGCCTTTCGAATGGTAGGGGTTTAAACCCATTTCAGATTGACCAAAATGTTGGCAAAGCCATTTTCTCTCGAAAACTCAAGGCGCCATATATGGCGCCGGGTAATAACAGGAAGTACTCCATATATGGCGTCCTTTGACTGGTACCCGAGCTTTTTCCCGGCAGCGGGCCGATTAGTTTTTCTCGAAACAAATATTATAAAACTAGTATTTTTCCATTCTTATGCCCAAATAAGATCGTCGTCTGGAAAACAAGCAGATAAAAACATTATTTAGCGAATTTCATCCGAAATCAATTTTTGACTTTTTTCTCGTCAATGATCATTAGCGAGAATTTTTTTTTCGGATTCATTATTTTCTTAGAATTTATACAATTAATCCATGCTTATATTGATAAAAATGATTTTTAATATATTAATTTAATGTTTGGAAGAAAAAATATTGATTTTTCCTATTAAAAAACGATGCGGCGCCATATTTGGCGCCTCTTGACCGGTACCCGAAGAAAATCATTTTTGGCCGGCTAGGGTTAAGGCCCATTTTGACCATTTTAGGTCAAGATCAAAACTTCGAGCCAAGTTATTATACAAGAAACCTTTTCAAATCCAGATTTCCTTTTGACAAAATGTAAATCTAGGATGGAACTTTGCCCCTATGTAAGCAAGTTATTATTATGAGATACTTTAGTCCTTATTGAGCTCTCGCTGTAAATGAATTTTTTTCTTACCCGGATTCTTGCTTGGTATAGGGGATTCTTCACTATCTCGTTCTCATCCTCGATTATCATGGCGATCGATTTTCAGGAGAGAAAATCTTCTATGAGGAAAAATGGTAAGAAACTCAATTATGAGAGTCGGTGTTACGACTCTTCGTCTGACACTTCGACAGTTTTGCCGCCGCTCAAGTTCCTTTTTAAGGTCAGCATCGCTGTTCCACCTTTAAAAATGCTGATAACTATATATACGATAGTAAGAATTCCTTTCTGCGAATCATGAACCGGCTTCGAGCAACGTTCATAGTAATATTATTAATTGAAAGAAGTTGAAATCGTTTTAAGATCCTATTTTAAGATCAAACTGTATTTAAACTTGACTAGTTACTGACGATGGCAAAAGCCGAAAGCTCTTACAAATAAACCAACAATCAATATTATCAATTTCGTATTAATAGAAGTCTAGCATCCTATTAAGAGAATACTTTTCTCTGAGTTCGTATTTTAGCGAGGGCTATGAAAAGTGACTCGGCAAACGAAGAGACCTCAACGAAGGATGGTGTTCGATATTTTCTTGGGAACAGTTTCTAAAATTGAGGAAAGAATAACTAATTTAAAAATTTGATCAGAACTACTTTTTGCTGTATCAGATTCTTCTCAAGTCTGCTAAGAACCATTATTTATCTGATTTTTGACTTAGAGAATTGAAAATTTTGCGAATTTTTCCAGGGTCAATCTTTTATGAAAATATGCGAAATTATCGATGAGTATACTTTTTTCTTCTTAAATTTGAAAAGGCCAAGGATTTGTATACCGATCCTTAAGCAAAATCACAGTTTATTTTTTGAATCAACCAGCTAAAGAAACCACTAAAGATGGTTTAGACAAATCTTTCACTGTTTTATCAGACGCAAAAAGCAGCATCAACTTCGTAAAGAACAGGTCTGTAACCTTGCTCAGCGTATTCGATGACTTCTTGGTTAATCAATTCATCTCCTTGCAGATCAAGCCGTTCTATAGCGTGTGGCCAACTCAAACCGGAGACAACGAAAATGGAATTGTTGATCATTATTCCCGATCCCCACCAATCGGCCTTTATAAATCGATTTTTTATTTCGAAAAATGAAAATTGAACCCTACATTTTGAAGATCTCCGATGATTTTCCAGATGTCGTTTTGAAGGAGCCAAATTTTTGTTTGCGGTATTAAAGCGGTACCGTCATAAATTCGACCTCCCGCGAGCAAGAGACTTCCACTTGGTAGACCCATCAGGACATGATACGCTTTCGGACTAAATTCTAGTAAAGGCTCCCTTTTCAGATTGATTACATACGTAGGAAAGTCAGGAAGAGAAGACCAGCCAGAAGAGCTCATAGTTTCTACCTTGTTAGTATCATCTTCGAATCCGTCGTTTCCGACTGTTGTTGCTTGCCCTTGATAGAGACCGAGCATGCCACCGTAATGAGGAAAGATCGATGAATGAGTCGAGCTACTAGTAGATGTAGCAGGGTCGAAAACTTCGCATTTTTTGGTTTCTTCATCGGCTGGAAAGCAAATTAATGCCTTGCTTTCGTGCTCGATCGAAAGCGCGGCGGACCAGGAATCGTAAGGGTTGATCAGTCGTAAGGGCTCTTCTCTCCACTCGCAGCCCACGAGCTTGGCAATCTAAAGAATCATCAGTATTACTTTTAAGTTGACTCGAAAACCTTGCGTCTATCTCGCGTTCCGCCGAAAATGAAGAGCTCATTCTTCAAAAGTGCGTGAGGAGCCGAGTTTGTGTAATAATTTGAAGGCGCTGAAATGTTTGCTGGTTTTAGAGCTGATCCGTCGAAAGAAACTATGAAAGCGTCGCTTACTCTCTTCCCAATCACCAGAATATGCTGTGTCAAAGTTAATTGAGAGGAAAAAAGAATGACTTACTTTATCATTAACTGGGCAAATCGGATTATTGCAATTTACACAACCCTGCGCGCAGTTCGCTCCACATGGGCAATCGTCACGGCAGCCTTAAAGAAGAAGAATTCATCAATTTTGAAAATAAGGCTTTTCACGGAAAACTGACCTTGATATTCCTCTGAACATAGAGATTGGCACAGCTCCGTTTCACAGAGTAACCGGCACTGGTTGTATTCCACTCTGCAGATGGAATCGCATTCTTCCTGCAACTCAGAATCCGGGCAGTTTTCTTCCTTGATTTCAGTAATCTCTCCCTTCCGATTTTTCACACTACACTTGACCAGGGAAACTCCTTCGAAAAAAAGCAGAATTCTTAGAAATCTCATACTCGAGATATACATTGAACGGCGAAAAAATAGAGCTTTAGCTTTTGCCAATTTTATTGAACTGCAAACCGGTCTGATATTTAAATTCGCGTAAACCAATTAATCCTGCCAGAAAACGACCGAAAAGCTCGAATTTTATAGCGATAAAGAAAGCGTTTATTACAGGTTTCAAAGATCGTTCATCTCAAACATCATCGTAATCATTAGAAAAGCAAAGGGCCAACAATAAACGCTTTATTAACCGCTTTAAAACTCGATATTTTTTGGTTGTTATATTTGCAAAACTAGTGAGGCACTTTATACGTTTCTCTCCGATCAATCGATTTCTGATTGTTTATCTTCTTGGACGCAGCTTTTCGTCGTAACTTCTTGATTTTTTCGGTAACAAGACTGAGCCAGTCCAACTCTAGCTCGTCTTCTTTCACGCTTTGATTCGTGTCGCAAATAATCGCCACAATTACATTCATTGTCAAGTACATCATCGAAAGATTCAAAGCAAAGTTCGGATCGGGAAGTTCGTCCACTTCAGCTCACATATCTTCAAAAATTATGTTTGTTGTCGAAAAAAAGAGTTACCTGAAGGCTTGAGATAGCCCTGTCAAATGATGACAAAGAAGGTTTTCCACAAAGACCGGAAAATGAACGACGAGTAGCGGAAAATAAGGAAAACGACGGAAGAGAGCCCAACTTGTATCGGCAAAAGCGCCATTACAAATGGAGCCAGAGTCTTTTTCAGTTGTTTGAGGATGCTCGTGTAGTACAAGTAGAATCTACTTTATTTTCTTTGCGGGCCGATTAGCTGCGAATTGAGTTAGCTGAAATCGTGGTTGAACGAAATAACCGCTTTTTCCGGCTTATTGTCGCCGCTCAATTTTAGGAAGTTCTCGCAATAAACTGACCTAGAAAGCAACCTTACCTCTTGCCTACCGTTCTCAGAAAATAATGGAAAAGAGGCAGGATCGTCGGCGATTCGTCGCTGACTTATTCAAAAAGCGCTAACTTTGACTTCATCTTTATTTATTGCCTCTTTGAAAATGCTGCTGATTTCGCAAAGTTTCAGAAAAGTTCATTTTGATTTTTTTGTTGCTACAATTATAAGCAAAATGAAAAAATTTTCGATTCGGTTTCGGCTCTACTAACAGATAGCAATTTCAATAGCAATTCATGGTCAGCTTAAATCATATGAAAAAATCCGTAAAAGGAGACGGCTCATCGGGCAGTCGATAATTGATGGTTCTGCGCAGAGTTCTGCTCCTTTTTCCGGACTTTTTCTAGTTCTTCGTCTTTTCTGAGTCGGTTCAAAGCCAGAGTCGACGATTATTTGCTCAGCTGCGGAAAACTGTAAAGTGAAAGATTTTTCACACTCTTTAATTAATAACATTTAAAATAATTTGTAGTTTTTGAGTTTTGACCAAGTGATTTGTTGATTTTATTTACAAATTTAATATTAATCAGTGATTTTTTGGAAAATTTCTTTTTAAAGAAACAGTTCGAAAAATCATTTTGTACAAAATTTTATTGACTAGGACGTTGATCATATTTGGCGGTGCAGAAATTCAACGGCGATATGAACAGAATCGGGTTGTAATAATATTTATCATGTTCTCCAACAAACTCGACTGCAACAATATTGTCTCCGTCTTTAACATCAGTTGATCACTTTTGTTTCAAACTATCGAAAACTTGGTCAACCTTTCCTAGATTCACGCGTTGGATCATTCGAGTTGATTTGTCGCTTCCTCCGGGGAATAAATATAAAGCGGTGCCGACTTGAATTGCTGATCCATAGTAAGAAGGCTGAAAAATATAGATTATATTATATAATAAAAATTAATATTATCAAATTTTCAAAATACCCCGAAATGAACTTACTTGAAGCAAACTTCCCATTATTGTCCATCTAAATTGATTCAAAACGAATATCTCCTTGAGAACTTTTCCATTCGCCAAATCCAAACCTCCCAACGTAGCAATTGATCCCGACGGCAATCGAGCAACAGTAACACTCCGTATCTTTCTTAAATCATGCTGAATAAAAAATTTGCAAAATAAAATAACATTGGATGACGAGGTAGTTTTTCCCAGCCATTTTCAGTCAGGGTTTCCGTGTATCCTTTGTTCGATTTTGGATAATTTTCACCGCCGACTGCTGTTGGCCGTCCTTTAAAATGAGCAAGTCCACCTGACCAGTGCCCTTCTCTTGGTTCGAATGCAAGTTCTTCAACAGCGGTGCCGTTAAAAATCTCGCACTTTTTGTCGTTCGGATCATCAAAACAAATAAGAGCTGAAAAGTGTAAAAAATAATAATTTATTTTTGCGACGAACCTTCAGTTCCGTTTGAAATTGTGAGCGTCCTGCTTCCACCATAAAAACTATACTGAAGCCGAATCGGGAGAAGCCTCAATTCGCATTCGACAAGAATAATAATCTGAAAAATAGTCAATAAGGAGTTTCAAAGAGCAGTCTACTAGTTTTTTTCTCTGACGGCCGCCGAAAAAATGCAACTGGCCTTTCACAAGAGCAGCTTTAGATTCAAAGATTTTATTCTGAAGAATCTGAGGAACAATCATGCTTGTATTTTCGTTTTTAAAGCCGTCTCCAAACAGAGCATAATGGTGTGGTAATTCAGCTGGTTCAGATAAGATAACAAGAATCTGACTCTGTCGATTTTGATAGAAAAAAACATTCTTGATTTCGGTTTCGTCGTCGAATTTGAAAACTCTGATTCTCTTTTCTCCTAAAGTTTGAAACTCGTTCATTTGCCTTGTTTCTATTTCCTCGCCCCTTTTAGTCACAACAAGGGAATATAATGAGTCGTTTTCGACTTTGAAAACGAATTCAAGAGATGTCCAATTCGTGCTTAACTGATCGTCCAAAATGATCGATTCCTCGAAAAAGTCTGATAAGACCGCAATCGAGCTGTTTTCGTAAGTTCTAATTGCGATGATAGATTTTTCATTATAAGATCGAAATTCCAGAATTTTCGCAGCTTTTGTGAGAAACGATTTGGTCTTCTGAGAGTCAAGAATATTTTTCGATTAGTTTATTAGTTTATAAATTATTTAGCATTAAAATTGAGACTCTTTCCTTTAGGTCTAAAGTGAGTTTACGCGTTTCGTTAAAGTCCAGCTCGAATGAAGAAATATGGAATAGTGACTCATTGAAAGACGAAAAAGGGAAATCAGGAAGAATCGCCCGTGGATAGGGTGTAGACAAACTGCTTGCTTTTTGGGCTCCGTTTAGCGCTGTTAGTAACGACTTGCTACTAAAAGATTATGCTCGTTTGCTCAAGAGCCTCGCCTGATTGCGGAAAAGCGGTTTGATTTTTGACAGCGTTTTTCGCGAAGCTCGGAAAGACATCTTTGTGGAATTCAAAATACGGGTTACTTGTCACTAGCATTTTGTTTTCAGCACTTTGTTGTCGGAAATCGAGCTCGATGCGATCTTTTAGGAGGATCAACTTAAATGTAGTCAAGTTAAACAAAAGTGAAGATCCTCTCCGAAGTCGAAATAAATTTCAAAAGAAGTGTCGAAAACAATATTCTGGAGATAAATACGATCGTTGTTTATGAAGCCATTGATGAAATACTCACACTCGTCGTTGTTGGTTCCGAAAGCATTTGAATAAGCGTAATCTTTCGGAGCGTACAAACCAGAGAAACAACGCGATTCTCGCTCGTACTTGACCAAGGAGCCTATCCATTCATTGCCGAGCGTTAGGAATTTCCCCTCTTTTTCGAGTAAAAGTGAGTATTGCGTGTTTGAGAGAGCAATGCTTCGAGTGACGAGAATGAGCATCAACTGACCAAGGTCGATCTTTTAGGATTCACAGAAAAAGCAGAAAGGGCAAGTACAAAATATCTTTTGAATCCATTCCAGAGGAATCACGTGCACTGGATCAAAGTCGCGAAACATAGACCAGCTTTTTTTTAGGTCAGCATTTTTATAACTTTTTTTTGGCTTGAGGTATCTTCAAAATTTAAACTGGAGGATGATCCTTGGCTAAAAAGAAAATTTTCCACCGGTCGAATTTTTTGAACCGGTCGGTTAAACTCGCGGTAAATCGCGGTTCAGCCCCTTTAGACCCTGAAATACCCCTAATATGGGTATCAATCGACTTCCTATGAAATAACGAGTCGAATGAAATATGAACCGCGGTCAACCGCACTGAACCGGGCGGTTAAAATCGCGGTTTAGCCCCTTATGACCCTAGAATACCCCTAATATGGGTATCAATCGACTTCATATGAAATTTCGAGTCGAATGAAATATGAACTGCGGTCAACCGCACTAGACCGGGCGGTTAAAATCGCGGTTTAGCCCTTTTTGACCTTCAGAGACCCCTAATACGGGTATCAATCGACTTCTTATTCAATTTCTTATCATAATAAACATAAACCGCGATGAACCGGCCGGTACATTCGCGCTAAATCGTGGTTAAGCCGTTTTCTCGCTCAAACTCCCCTTCAGCAACTCACAACCTTAACTTAAACCACCTTCTACAAAAAAATGAATAAAAAATTTCTGAAAAACGAACACCATAAAAGCTAAACAAGAAGGGGGAATGTGGTAAAAAATAAATAAGGGTGAGGGTGGGGTTGGGGACAGAACTAAGACTGATCACCTTAGTTTTCTCATCCCGGCCTTTATCAAGCCCATTTTTAATAAAAAGCCAGGGACGGGGCTGAGACGGCCCTTCGGGCCGTCAAGCCCATTTTTAATAGAAAGCCAGGGACGGGGCTGAGACGGCCCTTCGGGCCGTCAAGCCCATTTTTAATAAAAAGCCAGGGACGGGGCTGAGACGGCCCTTCGGGCCGTCAAGCCCATTTTTAATAAAAAGCCAGGGACGGGGCTGAGACGGCCCTTCGGGCCGTCAAGCCCATTTTTAATAAAAAGCCAGGGACGGGGCTGAGACGGCCCTTCGGGCCGTCAAGCCCATTTTTAATAAAAAGCCAGGGACGGGGCTGAGACGGCCCTTCGGGCCGTCAAGCCCATTTTTAATAAAAAGCCAGGGA